CAGCAGCAGCGGCTCTGCAGGCTCCAGGCAGCTTTCAGAAATACATGGAAAAATTAAGAAGGAACAGGATATTTTTCCAATTTAAATTTGTGCTTCAAACCCCAGTCACTCAATCTAGCAGAGCTGTGGTTGGATGCATGGAGCTGCTCAGAGATGGGATCAGCAAAGTTTGATGGAGTGGAGTTGGCAGAAGAAGGGGCTGTGGTTTTGCTGATTATCTGTATTGCCTCTCAAGGGGAACACTCTTTTCATCCACTTTAAAAACTGTCTGCAGTGCCAGGACAGTGCGCCAGAGCCCTGCCTTAATCAGCTCCTGCGGTAGGTGTTTAAAATAGATGAGCCAAATCACATCCTAAAACTGCCCGTCTCCATTGCCTAAGAAGGCGCCTGATGCGATTAGCTAAACAGAGGGGTCTGCAGTCCCACTGCTGCGCGTCTGCAATGATGTCTCGCACCAAAATATTTTGATGATTTGAAGCACTGCCTATTATTCAAGTACACTAGATGGAAGCCCAGCAGAAAGAGAGATGCAGAAACCAGCCTTTAATGTTTGGGGGAAAAGCTGTAGGAAGATTTTGCTTAAATTATTACACCTGTACTTTCCATGGCATTTTGGACACTTCCCACGCTCTCCTTTAATTTTACCTCGGTGCATTTTTGCCTCTTTGCCTTGTGAGCAGTGTCAGCGGGGAGGCAGGGCGAGGCGGCTGTGGTTTGACTTCCCCTGGGCAGCAGCACTGCGGCCGTCCTTGCGCTTAGAGCCCATCAAACTCCAGGTATCACTGGTTCCTCCACATGTGACAGCACTTAAACACTTAAAAAAAATTCTCTTTTGTGCTCTCTTCCACTTTCCCAATCAGGATTAAAAATGGTTGTAATCATGTAGGGGATTTTGAGACAGCAGAATTTCTTGAGCGGAGGCTGATTTGAATAAATGATATCCTGGGGCATTTCTCTGCAGGTGATGCCAGGCATCGCAAGCAGCTCTGTCTCTATGGCTTTGGCCACCTGAGGGGATCCAACAGCTTCATGCGAACCCACAGTGCTGCTTGACATCCCGTCCGGAAAACATGGGGCTGTTTCTGGACATTTCCTCCTCCCTCTCCACCCTAGCAGATCCTTTATTAGCAACAGGAGGGACCTGTCCAAGCCCTGCAGTGATGCCAGCATTGATTCTCCAGTGCAGTGCTCTCTGTTATTGAGAAGGGATGGGGGGCTGGCCCCCACCTGCAGGTTTTTGGACCCATATCCCTGCTTTAATGGTCTTCATGGCAGGAACAACCCCTCTCGTGGGCTGTGAAGCCATCCAGCTCCCTGCCTGAAGGCAGCCCCACATCACCCGGGCTCTGAAGGCAGGGAAGAGGAGGAGCAGCTGGGGGCACCTGTGGGGCAGATGGGAGAGGAGGGTGCCTGGTGCCATGGGGCAGCCATGAGGGAGGACCTGGGCTGAGGTCAAGGGAGACACAAGGAGGGATCCTTGGCTGAATGCTTCACACCTTTGGGGGAAAAGGTTGGGTTGAAGAAGCAGCTTCTGGGGCTCGTTAGCTCCAGGGCTCAGAAATGGGGCTGCTAACCCAGCTGGCCAGTACAGGGGCATGGGGCGCTGCCTGCCTCCCCTGAGCTCCCTCCCAGCCCCGTCCTGCTCTCACAGGCACTTTCCCAACACACTCCAGCTCCAGGAGATGCTGGTGGAGCAGCTTTGCTTGCTTCTTCAGCCCCTGAAGCAGAGGTGATGCTTTGCAGCCCTGCCTGGCTGCTGCAGGTGCTGGGCACAGCTTCTGAGCTGCTGGCTCTAAACTTGTGCAGCTTTTTATTTTTCTAATACAGCTTTGGAAAATACGTGGGAGGAGCAGTAAATCCACTGGGGGCTCAAGACAAGCCCTCAAGACCCTACTCACCACAACTGTTCCTCCCAAACCAGCCCCACTGTCTAACAAGAGCTTGTTTTTCTGTTTCTTGTAGCAATGTGGACACGGAGAAATTGTGTGGTAAGTGGGTTCATATTCCTGCCTCAGAGGGCTTCCTCTCTCAAGGGTCTGCGGTGGGGCTTTGTACATATCTGACCTGGGCAGGGCTGGGCGGTCAAGTGGCACTGACAGTCCCTGTGCCTGAATCCCAGTACAGAGGGCATCTGTGGTTTTCCTAAGGGGATGGGACATTTTGTCCCTGGGGATAGGAAAGGACTCTTCATTTCAGTCCAGGTGGGAGCGTCCCTCTGGAGAGGGACATGAAAGCCCCCCTGCAGCGCTGGGCTGTGTGCGGGAAGCAGCAGGCACAAGGGAGGCAGGGATGGAGGCGCTTGGGAGGCTTACCATGGTCTTCTCTCCTGCTTCAGATTATTTCTCAGCATATCTCGGAGAATACAGGAATGTGCTTTCTGCCCTGGAGGCCCTGAACTCTGCGGTCCTGGCAGCCATGGACAAAACCAAGCTGGTAAGGATGGGACCACGGGAGGGCGGCGGGGGAGATGGGTGCATAACAGAAGCCATGGTGATCTTAGCTGCTTGTTTAGCTTTAAACTTAGGTGTCAGAGGCAGCAAATGTGGTACCTCCCAGATCAATGGGGTTGCCTGTGCATGCTTCTGTTGTCTCCATGTGCAGTGAGTGCTGCAGCAGCACAGCCTGCAGCATGCCTGGAGGAGGGAGAGCCGTGCCGGAGGAGGAGAAGAGTAGGGCTAGAGCTTTTGTGCTCTGGAGACTTCTTTGAGCCCTCCTTCCTCGTAGGGTCCTGGCAGTGGTTGTTTCAAGAGCTCATTGCAGACCACTTGCAGGGTCCTGCCTGGGGACAGGGTTTCTGGGAGCATCGCTGATAACCTATGGGTTGCATCTCTGAGCCAAAGCAAGGTCTTTTCCACAAAGCAGTGTGGCGTGAAATGGGGACTCTGGGGTCGAGCCTGCTCTGGACTGACCACAGCAGCCTGTGCTCAGCACAGCCTGTGCTCACAGCGACGAAAACTGGCTGCCCATGATGGGGGCAGGAGCCGCTGCGGCAGGAAGGCTGCTTTGGGAAACGGAGAGGCGCTTGGGAGAAGGTAGGAAAGGGTGAAATTCATTGACTCCCAGCCTTGTGCCAAGTTCATCCCTGCAGTGAATTCTTTCCCTCTCCCTGCAGCTTGTGCTGATGGGAGGCAGATTGGAGGCTGCTAATTAGGGCAAGCAGCCTCCTGCTTTGTGAGCTCCCCTGCCTCTGCATCGAAGGGCAGCGGTCTGCAGTGTGCAGTGTCACGGGCTAAATACAGCTGCAAAATAGCAGTGGCCAATACTGGAAGGGTCCCTTCTCAGGGACCAGCAGACCCCTTTGCATCCGAAATGTATTAAATGGTTTAGCCATGTGCTTGGGGCTGGTGCTCTTCTACAGCCATGGGAAGGGCCGGCCCTTTCTTTCCCTTCGATGTGGCGGTTTGATGCTTGGTAAGAAGCAGATGAAGGGCATCATCCACGTGGACACCGTCCACTGACCTATTGATCGAGCAGAGAAGTGAAGGGGGACCGGTCCCACCGTCAGCTCTGCAGAGTCATGGAAGTGTTTGTGCCTTGGTAGTGCCTGTCACGATCTTGCCCTCCCTTTGAGTTTCCCTCTGGCCAGATCCAGCGTCAGCAGCGTCTCCCTGTACGTTGGGAAATTTCATGCCAGGAGAGGGAATCACTTGAAAATGCATTTTCTCTTTGGTTCAGCTGCCCGGCACCCTTCACAGTTATTAAATGCAAGTCCAGAGGGAGAGAATGAATCCTCTTCAGAGACCTATGCTTTATTTCAGTTCTTTTCTGTTTTGTTTTTTTTTGGTAATGAATTTGTATATTCATGTATTTCTCCAAAGGACAGCGCAATTACGGTCTGCTTCATAATATTGGTATGATGTATTCATTCATTTAATAGTTGCTGGTGCCACAGGTGTTCCCTGGAAAAGAGAAGCAGGTTCTCTGTGTTGAAACAGATTTTTGCGGACTCGCTTTTCCACTCGTGTTTGGATCTGCCCAGAGCCAGGAGTCCAGAGCAGCCCGATGCTCACAGCACTGCACTCACCCGGGCGAGGTCTGCGCTGATCGGGGTACTCTGATCCCAGCCCTGAGCTCCTGGGTGCTCCGATGCAGATACTGACCCTCCCGGGAAGCATCTCTCTGTGCTCCCCTGGTCTGCTGGGCTCTGCGCTGGGGAGAGGGCAGGAAAGGGCAATGCTCTAACCCTGTGGTCAGGGCTCTTGCAGAGCTGTGGGAAATCTGCCACTGCTAGAGGTTGGTAGAGATGATAAATGCTGCATTCTTACCTGCTGTGACCTGAATATATTCCCATGTTTGTATTTCCAAAATGGGAATTGATCTTGGGTTATTACGGGATTAGTGAGTTTATTAAGTTGGATTTTAGCCAAAGCTCACACTGCTCTGATCCAGGGGAGAGGGCAGAGAACAGAGATTTTCCATATTACGCATCTGCCCCTCATTTCTGTTGATTCAAACATCTCTAATGCCACCATGGCTGAGGATGGAGAGCCCCAGTTTGCACAGAGACCACCCTCCTGGAAGAGCTGAATGAAACTTCATCCTGGGGAGCTGCTTTTGCTGGAGATGCAGCTGTGCTGTCCGCTGAGCAAACTGGAAGAGACCTGCCCGCTCCAACGGCCCTCACCATAAAGCTATGCTTCCAGAACAGGGCTGTGGAGTCAACAGATGTTGGAGGATCTTCAGTCCCTGCCCATTTTTCCCCAGGCTGTATTTAAGAGAGCTTTGCGTGACCCCCGAGGAGGCAGCTAGAAGAAGGGGATCTCTGACTTGAGCTGGGTCTCACCAGTTGAACTACAGCATCTTTTGGTTAGGGCATGGTCCATCTCTGGTAGTTCCTTACTTCTGCTGCCACAGGATGGCTCACCCCTGCATCCTCCATGTACTTACCCCACAGCCGTAAAAACACTCATGAAAATACAAGCCCACTTTACAAGCAGGAGAACAGACGGAGAGCATGGGCTGCTTTGTTAGCACGACAAAAGCGGAGCCTGGGAGATGCCTTAGGCTTGCTCAGACCATGCCAGGGTGATGAGCTGCAGGGAGGAGAGAGGAAAATAAGGAAACCAAAGCTCGGAGGGAATATGCCGCGGCTCTGTGTTTGGGAGCTGTGGTTTGAAGCAGTGCCGCCAAAAGCCTTTTTGGTATCGAGGATTCCCACCTCCACGCGTGCCGTCGCGGTCGCTGTGGGCCAGCGTACCTGGACTGGATCAACGGTGTGTCTCAGCGGCTGTCTCCTCACTGGCGGGCTCCTGCTGTGCACGTTGTCAACTGCAGGATAAACACTGCGATAAAACATGGGAAACGCAAGCCGGGTTCATCCTTCTCGCCGTATGAGTGACTGCAGTCACTGTAGGAAATAGCGTATGTGTGGGCAGCAAACCGGCTCATGGTCTTTGTTATGGATCCACAGGTTGGCAGGAGGAAACCAAATCATTAGGGGTTCCTACGCTTCCATCCTTCCTCAATGGGTTGGTAGAAACATGGTAAAGAAAAGATGCCTTTTCAAGAAAAGAGGGCTTTTCTCCAAGTTCCGTCATTTGCACTTATATTTGTAAAATATAGCTGTTGATAGCTATGCTGCAGTATACTAAATACAGCTTATCCAGTGGCTAAGCTTTGCATTTGCAATATAATAGTGTCAGAGTAAGAAGTGAGCTGTGGAAATACCTTGGGAAACAGTCTGATATTTCTTACAGGGGACCCATATACTAAAATCTTTCCACTCTCCATTTCACAAACACTGCAAACTAATCTATAAATACTTCTCCAAGTCAGGCACTCTTACTTCTTCTTTGGCAGGAATTATGCGATCACCTATTCCACTCTGTCTCGAGCTTAACTATCGTCATAAGAAACTAATAAAACCTCTCAAAAGCAGAATTACAGCAGTTCTTGGCAACTTTGGGATTTTCATCTGAGTCAACGGAGCTGAAATACCAGTCCGCAACCCAAAAGCCTTGTCTCGTGCTTGCTGAGTTATTTCCTCCGTGACTTCTTTCCATGAGTCTTTGCTATGAACAGAAAATGCTGTGCTCAGTGAGACAGAGCACGTTTTTATTGAGCCTGTATTTACAGAGGGCTTTGAACTGTGTGGTGCAACACCTGACAAGAGGGTTTTGCTTGTTTACCCCCCAGTGAGGGCTGCAAGGGAGGCCGGGCAGCTGAACCGAAGAGAAGGCACTTTTTCAATTGATTCCCTCCCCTGGCATGAAATCTTCCAAGTTGATGCAGAAGAGTGAAACAGCATTTGGGGCTCTCTTGAGAGGTGGTTATTTCCATCCTTCTCTTGGGTGCGTTCCCCTGGGTGTGCTGTGTTTGATGAGGTGAGAGACAGGAGGCAGCTGGCTTGTCGTGTGCAATGCTCGCCCAAAATACTGACGCGTCTGCGTGGGATCCTGCTTTGCCCTTGCAAGGTGGGCTGGGGCGTGCTGGGACCAGGAGGATGGGGAGCCCTCTGCACAGCGAGCTTCAGAGCCAAGTCCCCTCTGAGCACGGCGTACCCTGGGCTCGTAGTTGGGTTTTGGGGGGTCCACCCCAGGCTGGTGCCTGTGTCTGCGTGTTTGGGGTGCAAGGACTGTGCTGGCACGAGCTGCGGGGCTCAGGGCAGGTTGAACATGCTCCCCACAGCTGTGACACGACGTCGCTGGGAGCAGCTGCCGGCTCCTGTGATAAAACTCCATCCACCTATGTTATCCACAGAGGACCTCAGGATTAGGCCATCCTCAGGATGAAAGTTGAGAGGATGGGGAGTGCTGGGAGGCTGGCTTGAAGCCGGGGCTTCTCCTGGCACCTGGCCGGGGAGCGATGCAGTTGGGGAGAAGCATCTGGTCCCCGTGCAAGGGAAGCATCCGTACGCCAAGGCTGTGGGGGCCACAGCCGGCCCTGGTGGGGAGGCTGGGGAGGATGCATCGGAGATGGCAACACACCTCATTAAGCGGATCCACATGGCTGCGGAGGCTGCTTGCTGTGGAAAGTGCCCTCTGTGCAGCAAGAGGGGTGACAGCGTTTGGATTTGGACCAGCTCCCGAAATGAAACGGGCTGTGCCCGGCCATGCGGTGGATGAATAATGTATCCTTTCCACTGTGCCCCAGTGGGGCCTCAGTCAATTAGTATTCTTCACCTTTCTTTCTCAGGCTTGTCGTGGGGAGGTTTGAGTGTCAGTTGTTCCACTGTAAGCAGGGGATGTGTGTCTGGGCTGGCAGGCACAGAGGAGCAGCGCTGGGGGGGGATTTTGGTGCCTGCACCCCTTGGGAGTGAGGAGGTGAAGGAGTGGGCAGGGGGAGCGGCAGGGTCCCTGCCTGGGGTCCCCAGCCCCATGCTCTCCATCTTCTGGGGCTGTGGGGAAGGAAGGCTTGTGGCAGCACGTGGGATGCGTGGCTGGGGAAAGCCCGGAGATGCAGAGCTGGAGCTCAGCTTCCCACGGCCGCATCGGATTGGCTTCACTGCCATCCTCGTCCTGTGGCAGAAAATTGAGATTCATTTTCAAGCACAGATGAAAACCCACCGGCAGCATGGCTGCTGGGCGGAGGGCTCTGCTTGCCCAGGTGGTGGTGGGGTGTGGGGAGTGGCTGTGGCTGTCCTTCGCCCACTCCAGCATGAGCCCTGGCAGCGCTCGGTAGATGAGCATCCTCTCCACTTACCTTCCCCTCCCGGCCAGCTGCAGCTGTGCCAGCAGCCCCAGGTGGACACAGCTCCGGGACTGGGCTGGTGGCTCGGCTGTGGCGCAGAGAAACCAGAAAACCATGTGTGGCTCAAGACCCTCCCTGCTGCCCCCCCCAGATTTTTGACACCAGCATTGGAAGGGTTACGTCCATGTGCTTTTGTGCAGAGCTTCTGGAATTCAAGATCCTCAGTTCTCCTGTGTGTTGGAGAGAAACACAGTAGGAATTGGAAATTTTTGACCTCAGTAATGTGGTACCATTGCTGGGCTCTATTTTGGACATGAAAGAGGGAGTTCGTGGTGCTCGGGGGGGTGAAGGCAGCCTGGCTCCTGATCTGTGCCACAGCCTTGGGGGCATATGAGGACACCATGGGGAAGGCAGAGGTGAGGCTGGTCCAGTCTGCCTCCTCATCTTGTGAAGGAAAGGGTTGACCTCTCCTGATGGATGCTCCTGTGGAGCAACCAGCCCTCCTGCATCATGTGGAGACTCCTTCCTTGACCTCCCACTGCCAGTTCTGTCTCTCTTAATGCTCACAGTGGCGTCCTGTGGTTTCTGTGTTCCTTGAGGAGCTGGGCACGCGGGCTGGCCATGGGGAAAGGAGTCTGCTATGACAGCTGGGCAGTGCTTCCCAGCTGCTTCCCCCGTGCAACCTCTGATCCTTCTCTAATGGTCTGCTAAGCTGAGTCAGTTCACTAAAGCAGCAGCAAAGCCAGGTGAGTGCTTTTCTGCCTGTTCAGTGAGCTGAATTGGCTCCCTGAAGCACCAAATGACCTTTATACCAAAATTACAAAGAGCAAATTCGGTTCCCTGGTTTTCACCAGCTCATCCTCTGTAGCCAGTGCTGAGCTGCTTCAGTGCCAAGATCAGAAATCACCTCGCATAGTAAAGTTGCTGCAGTGCAGGCGCCGTGTGGACCTTCTCCTCAGCTCGTTCCCCACCCCTGTGGCTCCCTGCTGACCTCGGGGGTCCTGCTGCACTGACTGCGGGAAGGAGCTTTCCTGCCTGCTGGAGCAGCCCCCTTCCCCGTGCTGGCAGCTGCAGGCAGTGCATTCAAAAAGGACAGCTTTGCTGCGGTGCTCTAGCTGTGCATGGCCTCCAGCCTGGAGCGTTGGGGCTCGGCTGTCGACCGGCTGCACGCAGACAGTTGGCGTTCCCTGAATTCACAGTACAAGCTGCGGTTGTGTTGCCAGCCTGATCGAACACATGCTTATTAGAGTGATGGTGGATAGGCATAGAAATAACCCGGAGTGTAAATGCAAAACAGTTTACTTCTTTTAGAGCATTTGAATTGACTTCGCACACCTGCAGCAGTGCAGAAGCTGGCCCACAGTCACCACCACTGCCGCGGCTCTGCCCGGAGCAAGAAGACCCTCCTCCTGTAGCAGGAGCTATGCCCCGCCGGTGGGATGCTTTGAGTGCACGGTTGTTGTCTGCCTGCTGGAATATCTTGTGCATGTACTCAGCACCATGCTCCTGGTACTCGCCCTTTGCCATCCACGCGTGCTGGAAGGTCGTGAGCGACACTGCTGTCGACGCCCCCCCTGCCCAGGCTGCTGCACCCCTCTCTGGGCTCATCAGGACCTGAATCTGGCAGCCCGTGCCATAGAACAGGGCATTCAGCTCTAAGAACATCCTCTTGGGAAGCCAGAAAACATCGAGGGGCCCCCTGACAGCACAACGTTACTCACCGTGTCCCTCCTGGCATGGTCGGGTACCTTCTGGAGGCTCTGCAAAGGCCAAGTGGTGGAGCCCTGGGGAGCCTTGGTGGAGTAGCTTCGGTTGGAAGAGCGGCTCCAGGCAACAGAACCGTTCCTCGTCCAAGGTTGTCCAGTGCCCATCAGGGGCCTGAAATCTGGCTGGATGATGGTAACCTTGGTTGTGGAGGTCTTTGTAGTCCGTGGAGACATAGCAGTATTGCTTCTTCAGCTGGATCACTGTTGTCTTCTTCAAGGCCTTCAGCACTGAGGGGTCGTTGGGGCTCTCCATCAGCAGGCTGTGCAGGTAGCTGGAGAGGAAGCCACCAGCCACCCCGAGGTGGTAGGCGGCCTCCCTCCAGGTCTGGCCCAGGCAGACGGAGGTGGCATGGGACACTCCTGCCCCAACCTCCATGGCCAGACTGGTGACTCTGCTGTAGGCACAGAGGGAGAGAAACCCGGTGTTAGCTGTATACAGGGCTGGCACCCTGAAGCTCTCAAAAAGCACCTCCACCAACTTTTCCCTGTTGGTGAAGGGGCAAGAAGGGGAGACAGCTGTGAGCACGGGCTGTTCCTCTGGGAGGATTTTCAGGCCACAGAAGAAGAGGTGGCTCCACAGGTTTTCCATGCCGTCCTAGTCCTTAACGATGCCGTGTTTGAATTGGTAAGTCCTGGGTGCTATGGCGAAGCTCACTGTGCTTTCAACAGTAGTGGGATGCCGCTGGGTCTCCCACGTCACACCTGCACTGCAGGGATGCAGCATCACGGTCCTCAGCAGAAACCTGGGCTTCTTCTGGCCTGCACAGCCTGCCCGGGTGAAGCTGCTGCCATTGCCTGTGACGACTGCAGGCTTTGGCGTGACTGGCACTGAGGAACACCGGGGAGGGAGGAGGAGCCTCAGCCTGCAGTGGAACAAGAGAAGTCTCGTGGGGGCAAACCAGGTACCTGCTCCACAAAGGAGCCTGCGGCTCAGCCCCAGTGGAGGACAACTGTGCCTGCCCTAGAAGTGTCTGTCTCTGGGGATGTGCCTCAGTCTTTCCTCCTGTCTCCTCGCTCCCTGCCTTGCTGAGCATCCCTCCTTGGGTACCTTGTCTCCATCCCTGGGGGCTGGAGATTTGCCCCAGGCCCTTGAGTCGTCTGACAGTGCAAGGACAAAACTCCAGGGGGTTTTAAGGAAGCAAGTGAAAACTGGATGGGAAAATAGGGTGGTTGGACGAGGCTTCAGGGAATGGTGCTGCCTGCAGAACCCATAGCACATGGAAAGGAGCCATGCTCTGGGCTGCGGCTGGTCATTGCACCCAGATTTTTGCCCAAGAGGATCGTGGTCACAGCTGGCAAAGGAAGGAGGGAGTTTGGGGTGCCTGTGTGTGTGTCCAGGCACTTTCCTGGCTCTCTGTGCTACTCAGACCTGCTCCTGGGGCATGGCGTGCATCCTGACCCACTGTTTGGGTGCTCTCCGGGCCAGCTTAGCTTCTTGCCAGGATGCACGGTGACCACTTCATTCTCCCCAGCACTTCTTGTGTGCCCCCCCGGACCTGCCTCTACCTGCCCCCAGCACTAATGCCTGTGGCGTGCCATTGCACGTCAGACCAGGGAGGAGAGTGGTGGGGAAAGGGCACGCAGCCCCGCGTTCCTGCTGGACTTGAGGGTCTTTTCCAACCTTAACGATTCTATGATTCTGTGGACACCCCTCCAGCGCCGTAGGGTGGATTGGCTGGGACTCACAGCCAGACACAGCTGTCCTCCCAGCGCCTGTCACTCGTGCTCCGTGGGTGATGTGGGGCTGCGATGTGGGGCGGCTCTCGCGCAAGAGCAAGTCAGCCGTGAGCAGGTGTGTGTTGGAGATTCAGCAGGGATCTCTTCCTGTCGGAGCCGAGAGACTCAGTGCTCTCTTCCTCGGGAGAGAGGGCACAAAACCAGCCCGCTGCCCTGCCCTGCCAGTGGCAGGGGGCTCCCCGGGAGGGGCTGCCCGCGCCCCGGGGGGGGGTGGGGGGGCTCCCCAGTGGCAGGGTGCTCCCTGGAAGGGGCTGCCTGCGCCCGGAGGGTTGCTGCGGGCTCTCCTTAGCCTGACCCCAAGTCTGTGCCCTGCTAGCCTTGTCCCAAGAGCCCTGGTGCAAGCAGAGCAGTGTGTGAACCACTGGCTCTGCCTGCCCTGGAGCCCTCCCTGGAGCTGGGGGCTATTTCTGCAAGCAGCCTTTACCTTAAGGCTTGGGAGTGTCCATCTGTGGTCCTCCACAGCTCCCCGGGGCCGTGGCAGCCAGGGGCTGTGGGTGCTGGGGCCGGGGTGGGGGGTCACACCATGCATGTGACCTCACAGGTGTGCAGCCAGAGGATGCTTTTGTCCTACGGTGTCACCGTTTCCTATGATGCCTAAAAATTTGGTTGGAATTCACCCTGTTGGGTTTATTTAAGGGCCAACCCCTTCCAGATGCAGCTCTGCTCCCCCCACACAGGGTTGGGGGCATCTGACAGATCCTCTCCCTTTTCCCACAGAGGTACGAGACCTCCTCGAAGATGGAGCAGTTCCTGACCCGCTTCCTGCTGCGGGAAACCATGCACCAGCTGCAGTCCCTGCAGGCCTCGCTCGAGTGTGCTGTGGACACCGTGGAGGAGCAGGCGGGACAGGAGAGGTAATGGGGTGGGATGTGCCAGTCCTCCACCTCTCCCCACCGCCACTCGTGGGGGTCGCAGCATGGGGCAGGACTCACGGGTTCCCCTGGGGGGGTACATCTGGGAGCAGGATCTGCCCTTTCCAAGCCCACTGTGAAGCTGACCCATATAGTGAATGATTCCAGCCCCCCCTTTGCATTTTATTCTTTCAGAAAGGACATAAAGAAATCCGAGACCTCGGTTGGCCTGAGGTCAGGGAGACGATGCGGGCGCAGAGGACAGAAGAACATCTGTCTGTCTCCAACGGACCCCTATTCTGGGATGCTAACGACAGGTATCCGCAGCCTGGCCGTCCCTTGGCTCGGTGTCTCTGCCCCTGCCCCACTGGAGCCTGGAGTGGGTGTGGAAGCAGCAGCATGGGACAGCGGGGGCTTGTCCAGGACAGAGCCTGGACTGTTGCACCCAGACACCAGCTGGAGCTTCTCTGGGATGTTGTATCTCTCGAGGAGTGGGAAAAGTTTCAGGAGAAAACCAAATCAGTTTTTTGGTTTAAATCCAAGGTCTTGAAGCTTTTGTGGTTTTCTGAGTCTTAAGCAAGCTTTTGCTGTGATAAAAGCAAACTTTTTTGGTGATAACTCTCTGCCCTTCCCTGTGCAGGCGTTTGTGTCGAAGACAACAGCCAGTGGATGGCACAGATCAACAGGCTCCAGCAGCTCATCGAGAAGCTGGAGTGCAAGGTGCGTGGCAGAGGGGAGGTGGGCTGGGGGCTGCCCTGCACCTTGGTGCTGGCCAGGCTGGCGCTGGGACCTCTCCCTGTGCCAACAGCCCTGGTATTTGGTCCTGGCATCGTTACAGAGCTGCACCCGTTCACCAGACCCAAACTCGCAAGGCTGCTCATCCCTTGGTGTCTCCAAAGCCCCCCTTCCCCCGTCAGCTGTGCTGACCCTCCCCTGGCTTCTCCGTGGCCTGTACTGATCTGACAAGTCAGTCTGGGCCCACCGAGCCCCACAGCTGTGCAGGTCACATCCCTTTTCTCCCCTGGGTACCTGAAGGAACGTCCCCAGAACGGTACCCATCTGTCACGCTGAGCTGGGCTGGGCTGTGGGTTACTGCCACATTTTATCTTGTTGCAAAGTTCTCCCAGTAACGATGATTTTTCCTGTGGTGTTAAATACAGAGCCCACGCCTGGAGCCGCTGAAGGAGGAAGCCATGTGCAAAGGAAGAGATGCAGTAAGTCCCTGTCCTGCTGCTTGTTGTTTTTAGGTAACCCCATAGTGTGCACAGATCCCCTCTCTCGCACACGTGTGCTTGCACAGCCCCTGTGCCCCGTGACTGGAGTCACCTGGGTGAGCTGCTGGCTTTGATCTGGTGGGGGGTCCGCTGCTCAGTGATGTAGCAAGATGGGAGTCAGAGCTGTGAGCTGGGCGTGGGACCATCCACAGGGCAAATGCAGCTCCATCAGGTCCAGGAAAGCCCCGGGCAGTGCCCCTGGCCAGCTCAGAGGAAGGCAGTGCTCCACTTGCGAGTGCCCAGATCCCCCAGGTTTGCTCCGAGCACCCGCAGACCACGCAGAGCCCCAGTGTAGGGGTCCCGAGGCCCCTTTCTGCTGGGGGAAGGACATGGGGAACTGCAGCAAGCCCCAAAGCAGGACCCCGCCACTGGGGGATGGAGCATCTCCTGTTGGTGTGGTTCTTGTTGTAAAGGCAACCTGCCCAGGTAGGAAGAAGCCACTTTAAGTTGGCGTTGTCCCCAGCATTGTGGTGCCAACCCCTTCTTGCGGCTTCCCCCGCAGTGCTGTTCTTGCTCAGCACCGCCTTGTCCCGCAGCTGGGTGGGAGCAGGGAGGGCAGGAGGGGCAGATGAGTCCCTGATGCTGCTTGTCCGCTGTCCCTTCGCAGCACATCCTGGTGGCAAAGAGGCAGATCTCGGTGGCGACCAGCAGCATTGAGGAGTTTCGCCAGGCGTTCAGGTCCTACACGGAGGTCACCGCCGGGCAGAGCAGCTGCCTGCAGTAAGTGTGGCGGGTGGTGGGGGCTTTTCGTGACATGGCTTGTGCAGAAACAGGGGCTTTTAACACAGCACCCTTGGGAGACAGAAGGGGTCTTTTTGCAGTGTATTTTTTGTGCTGGTCGGTGCATGGGTGGGCTTGTGGAGGTTTGACCTCGCAGAGAGGACGGGACAGCGTCACAGTGCCTGCGGTACCGTCCCATCTCCTGCTGCAGGTTGCCTCAGCAAGAACCACTTGTCAGTGTCTGGCAAGGATGAGGCTGTTTTTTATGCACAAATGGCTGTGGCATGCACGTGTAAGAGGATGCGTGGATTCCTCCAGCACTGAAGGACTTGAAAGTAGTGGGGGAAAAGTCAAGGGGAGAGCTCATGTCACAGCGCTGCCTTATGTAAAGTGTGGGCAGTGCTGGTGGGAAGCGGCCATGAACACCTGAAGCTAACCCCCGCACGAGACCAAGGCTCTGCCCCCAGCACCGCTCCAGAGCTCCAGACATTGCCGAGGATGGAGCCCAGGTCTGGCTTCAGTGAGAGGCTGTTGCCAGCCTGTCCCTGGAGACTGCACAGCTGCTCTTTGAGAGGCGCTTTCCTTCTCCCATGGGAGATTTCATGGGAGGTTTCAGTGGGAAACGTTCCTGTTCCCCTTTAAAGTGTCATTTTTCAGCTCTTCAGTTCCAACAGCACAAAATTGCGTTTTCAATCCAAACAAAAGGAAGATACTTGTTTTGACACGTGTGGCAGAGAGAATGGTATTTTTTTCTTTGGAATTGATGGGCTTTTCTGTCATGAGAACTATTAGTGTAGACAACTGGGTAGCGTTGCATGGGCAGGCTCTCCACGTGAGTGGAAAGCTGGAGCGAAGCCTGGGGAGACTCTGCTGTCCTGGTTCACGCCAGGGAATTGCAAAGCGCATTGTGGCCCCCGCGCAAGGGGACGCAGCCTCCGAGCTGCTGGGTGACTTGCGTTGCTCTCCCCCCCCAGGGCTTGGTCCCTTCCTGCAGCCCTTAGCAGCAG